GGGTGTGGCCTTATGACACACTTCCGGTGATGTCAGGGGGTGTGGCCTTATGACACACTTCCGGTGATGTCAGGGGGTGTGGCATATGGTAATGAGTTATGCTAATGAGTCTCCCTAGCTCTTTTTCTACGAAACGACCCCTGAAAGTCACCCAACACGCTTCATGGCAGAGGGGAGATTTGAACCTGGGTCTCACTAGAGAGTCAGTTTGGTGTAGTGGTTAAGTGTGCGGACTCTAATCTGGGAGAACCGGGTTTGATTCCCCACTCCTCCACTTGCACCTGCTGATGTGACCTTGGGTCAGTCACAAGCTCTGGCACAGCTGTCCTTGAAAAAGAGCAGTTTGTGTCAGAGTTCTCTCAGCCCCACCCACCTCACAGGGTGTCTGTTGTGGGGAGGGGAAGGGAAAGGAGTTTGTAAGCCGCTCTGAGACTCCAAGTGAAGGGCGGGGTATAAATCCCATCTCTTCTTCTCTTCTTCTTCTTCTTCTTCTTCACTGATCCTAGTGCGACACTCTAATCCGGTGATGGCGAACCTTTTAGAGACCGAGTGCCCAAACTGCAACCCAAAACCCACTTATTTATCACAAAGTGCCCACACGGCAATTTAACCTGAATACTGAGGTTTTACTTTACAAAAGAACCAACTCATACATTAACTTAAGATGATCCAAACAAAGTAAGGGAAGCCATCCCAAATGCTTTCATTGACTTTGGCAGAGAATTCCACACTTTAATGACGGTCTGGGCCTGGCCGGGGCGATGGCACGCGTGCCCACAGAGAGGGCTCTGGGTGCCGCCTCTGGAACGCGTGCCATAGGTTTGCCACCACTGCTCTAATCACTACACTACACAGACTCAGTGAACTACACGTATTAAAGGCTTGGCATAGTGCTGCAAGAGTTATAAAGACTGGATATGCAAAGGCTGATCAAAACATATTACTATATGGGTCTGCAAGTCAAGGTCAACACTTACATTATCTCGGAGTCATTCAAATATGTGGAGCAAACATGCTCAGAAAACATTAGGCACTTAGCTCAGCTTACAGAAGTCACAGTTACCCTCTCACTGAATGTTCTTGTCAAATATAATAAATTAGAGCATGTCTACAAATAAGCATTCTGTACACTCAGTCTGGTCCTTTAATGTTAAGAAGAAGAAGAAGAAGAAGATTGGATTTATACCCCGCCCTTCACTACCCGAAGGAGTCTCAGGGCGGCTTACAATCTCCTTCCCTTCCTCTCCCCACAACAGACACCCTGTGAGGTAGGGGCTGACAGAGTTTTGAGAGAATTGTGACTGGCCCAAGGTCACCCACCTGGCTTCATGTGGAGGAGTGGAGAATCAAACCCAGTTCTCCAGATCACAGTCCAGGACTCTTAACCACTACACCACACTGGCTTTCCCTACTACGAACAAAAAGTAATCTAATGCCATGTTACATGAATCAGTAACACAATTTTTCCTTTACCTAATCTCCACTGAAATTTGATTTCTTCTCTTCATTTTCTTACCAGAAACACAGCAACATTTTTAATCACTATGGAGAAATTTATTTTTATCCAAACCCTGATTAGCCTGATTATCTTCTTCTTCGTCTTCTTCTTTTTTTAAATCAGTACAAAAAAAATCTTATTAACACAGCAGCAGCATACCCTGAAAATTAAGGGCTAAGTGACCAAAATGGCAGAACTGCCGCGTTTCAATGGAAATGATCTTTTCAAGAGGCTTTTTAAAAGCACCAGAATCAAGACAAATTCATAGGGAGGAGGATGCAACTATTCCAGTTACATCTATAGGCAGGGGTCATTTCGTAGAAAAAGAGGTGCAGGACCTTATTAGCATAACTCATTCGCATAACTTATTTGCATATGCCACTGAACGAGGGAGAGAAGGAAATAAGGAGGGAAAGGGAAGGAAGGAGAGAAGGAAGGAAGGAAGGAAGGAAGGAAAGAAGGAAGGAAGGAAGGAAGGAGAAAAGGGAATAAGGAGGAAAAGAAAGAGAGAAGGAAAAAAGGACAGAAAGAGAGAGAGGAGGAGAGAAGGAGAGAAAGAATAAAAGGAAGGAAGGACAGAAAGAAAGGGAAAGAAAGAGAAGGAAAGAAGGAGGGAAAGGGAAAGAAGGAGAGAAGGAAGGAAGGGAATAAGGAGGAAAAAGAGAGAAGGAAAAAAGGACAGAAAGAGAGAGAGAGGAGGAAAGAAGGAGGGAGAGAAGAGAAACAAAGAAAGGAAGGAAGGAAGGAAGGAAGGAAGGAAGGAAGGAAGGAAGGAAGGAAGGAAGGAAGGAAGGAAGGAAGGAAGGAAGGAAGGAAGGAAGGAAGGAAAAGAAAGAGAAGGAAAGAAGGAGGGAAAGGGAAAGAAGGAGAGAAGGAAGGAAGGGAAGAAGGAGGAAAAAGAGAGAAGGAAAAAAGGACAGAAAGAGAGAGAGAGGAGGAAAGAAGGAGGGAGAGAAGAGAAGGAGAGAAAGAAAGAAGGAAGGAAAAAAGGACAGATGGAAAGGGAAAGAAAGAGGGGGGAAAGAAAGAAAGAGGGAAAACGGATGGGGAGGGAGGGAGGCTCTCCCACCCCCCTGATCAAGCCCTCGCCTGGGGCTGCTGGGAGCAGGGGGAGAGCTTGTTGCATGTGCTTGCCCCCTGGGCTCTTTACAGCCGGAGTTCCGCTCCTGTGCGCTGCTGCAGGGAATGACCCCTGTCTATAGGTACCATCATCATTTTGTTTCACTCTTTTCTTGCACATAATGTAAAACCAGGACCAGACCCTGAACCTCAATATACTGCAGAGGAGACGCTGCTGTCACCAGAACACCAACAAGATATAATATAATCCCAGCAAATCCTACTGCGTAAGAACTGTCTATAGGAATAAGTCTCTGAAGACAAGGGCACATATTTCACTCCTGTACCAATACCTAGTTTACTGCTATTGTGGCAGTACCCATGCAAGCAGAGATATCAAAAGGAGCTTATGTCTTTCTTTTTAAAAAATTCCCATTCCTTATTTTTTCCTGAAAAGCGGTACTCATGTTA